AAAACATCTGCAAAAAGCTAAAAACAGACCACATATTGAGTAGTTAAAATATTAAAATGCTACATCAAAGTTCAAATGCTACATCAAAGTTCAAAGTCTATTGGTAAAAACATTCTTTCAGAAGTTTGCCAAATTTACAAAGCTTCTATAGACACATGTTAAATATTTGAAAAAGTATAAAGGTTCAAATACTCAAAAAGTAGTCTAACAAATATTTGCTTACTAAATCCAAAAAATTTAAACTTTCAGGGACTGGTATGACAGCCTAATGGTCTAGCCATTCCGAGGCTGATTCTTCGCATGCTGACTGTCTCTATGCTCTTCACCCCCATCTCACAATTGTCCAAATCTTATAGGTCACAAAAACTTCACTCCACTAAAACTATTTATGGGATACAACAGTCGTGTTAGACATCCCCACAGACTTTTACCGCAAAACACACAAAAAAAAAGGATGATTGCGCTGGAAAGTCCTAGCCAGGCTGGCGTCACCTAGTGCCTCCACTCAATTTCATTTCTCTCCAGTGACTAGGTCAGGAATTAGAATACAGTAGACGGTTTGCAAGAACCCTGGAAGTTGTAGCCCACAGACAGGCCAATCAGTGAAGAGCTGTGAAGCCATGTCTGGGTCCCTTTTGTGGTACAGCACAACAGTAAACAAAGCGACCGAGATGGATGTAGATGAAGTCATACATTCTGTGTTGGCAACAATTCACGAAAATCGAGGATTTAAAGCCGAAACAAAGAGAATGTTTGGTGAATTTTATCATGGGGAAAGACGTTATTGTCCTTCTTCCTACGGAATTTGGCACATTACATATGTCACAACCAAATAGCAGTGATTGGTTAAATAAAAAAGTACCCACCTACCATCTAGCGAATGAATCCTAATACTGCGAGGTCAGATGGTTTCCACAAAGTGAAACTGGCTGATAAATCAGGCTAGTACAAGCCAACATGTCAAAAAATGTCAATGCACTAAAACCACCTATGGGATACAACAGTCATGTTATACAACCCCACATAACTTTTACTGGGGAAAAAAAAAAAAAAAAAGGATGGTTGAGTTGGAAAATCCAGCACAACTTGTACTTTTATATCAGGATTATTCCACCTACTTTTTGGGTAAGATGAATGGAACGTGCTTTCCTTTAATTTTCCACAGTATAACATTAAAATTATAATAATGATAAAATCTGTTGCTGTTGTGTTGTTTTTCAGCAGAAAGTGTGTGAGGCAGGGGGCATGGACTCAAACACTTAATTGGCCTCAGTAACAAGCCTGGTCTACTCTCCACCACTCTGCCAGATAATGCAGTCTTATTTGGTATTGAAGTCTGAGTGCTGAGACTCATGTACTTACTTTGCTGTTTGGAAATACCTGTACTTAACCACTGCTTCTCATCTGTCCAGGACCTGCTTCACTGCTTCTCCCCACCTCTACTGTCTGCTAATAACGTTAAAGTGAGTGTATTTTACTTTTATAGGGTATTAACTGCTAACACAGCATATTTTAATCACCGTGTTAGCTTTTATTGTTTTGAAAATGCTATATTCGCCAAAACCAAGGTATTAAAATGTTTTTGACAGTCTGAGTTTCCCGTCCTCCCTCCCTTTGCTCCCAAAAGTCACTTCCCCCCATTCACTGCACACTGCATCACGTTTGTCAAGTTGTTATGTACAGTTTTGTATTATGTTATGTTACATTTTTGTTTTGTTTTTTGTTTTTTATGGAGAATTATTGAAGGAGCATGGGTGACGTAGGCTTGTGGACTGACCATTGCACAAAATCTTAGAGCTAACCATAAGAAAGGTTCAAATAGGATCCAGGAGAGATCGCGAAAATACTCAGACATGTATGACATCTAAAATCTCTTCAGACATGTTTTTGACGAAGGAACAGTGGTATAACAAGAAAGCTCTACTCTTTAAAGTGCCCGTATTATGCTATATTTTCTGATCTATGTTGTAATTTTACGCATGAAAAACATACCTGGAGTTTTGGTTCATTCACACACAAACACACAAACACACAAACCCTGCATATTTAGGCTGAGTTCTTCTCTCAAACAGGAAACACTCTGTTCCACCCTGTGATGTCATGTGGTAATATAGGAAGTGCCCCACTGTGTTTTTAAACTCAATACATCTTCACTAGAATCATTTGGATGATTTCAGCCCTGGAATCACCTATCCCTGGACTGAAGGTAAAAGGAGCTGTTAACTTGATAACTACCGTTTCATGACATCACAAGGTGGAACAGGGCATTTTGAAGTTTGGAGATGTAGATATGTTGATAATAAAGGGTTAGTCAAACATGTGTGAATGAAACAAAATACAACTCCAGGTCTGTTTTTGAGGAGGTAATGACATTCTAACATGTCTTAAAGCTCAAAAGTGTAAATTTTGAGAAATATAAGATCTTTAAATAAACTTTTGATTAGTCTTGGTCTTGACTCTGCTTTGGGGTTCAGCCTGTAAATCATTAAAAGAGTTAAATTAAATAAATACCATTCTGTGGAACACAAGCAGGTGGCAGAAGTGGTGCATAAAAAAGGTAGAAAGCAGCAAGTTTCAGCATTTCTACAGTATCACTTGTTCGGGTCATGTAAAGTGCAGCTGCGTAACTTTTAGTGACATTGCACAAGGGTTCTCCAATTGCCCTCTTCTTATCTCCTACTTCCTGTATATTACATTTCTCCATCTAAAAAAAATAATTGGATTTATTTGGCACAAACAAGCCTTTCCAGTCAGGCCTTTTTATTGCGTCCGCGACGAGGACACAAACTGATTTGGCTGATTTGATTAACTGAAGAGCTCCTATGCATAAAAGACGGAGAATTAATTTCACTGACAAACTGTGGTGTCCCGTGTGCAGAGCCTGGGTTTGTTCTGGTCTGCACAAGCTGATAAGAAACTATTCTATTTATGGCAGTGTAATATACTCACTCGTGTGTGTAAGCAAACAGTAGCACAGTAATTAAATATCATAACGTTTGACCGTTGTGCCCCTAAACTTAAATTAATTAGTAATAAACACAAGTAAATGTAAAAAGAAAGACACAATAAGGGTGCATACATAGGGGGTTGCTCACAGTCAGATGCATAAGAAACTACATAAAGAAAAGAAAAGCTGTTTTGACAAAATGTAAAAAAGTTATTAAGTGAAACCATAATTACTTTTGCTAAAACAACTTGCTCCTCGTAGTGCCAGTATGAATTAAAATATTATCACCAAAACCTATTTTTCCATCCAACCAGTCTGTACAACTTCATCTTAGATTTGAAAACAAAAACAGTTGTAAATAATATTTTGTGGAAATGAACACATTTGAATGTAAGTAATACATTCAAATGTGTTTTGTTCCTGTACAGACATATTGTAAAAGTAGCTTTCAGGATTAAAATAAGAATGTTGCTCATGAACCAGGAAGTGCACTCTTAGTATGCTAGTTGTTTGCTGTCAAAGCAAAACTCTTGATAAATTTGGTAGAAGTGCTTATGACTTCATCACACTGAATAATTTGGAGGCTAGGAATGTGTTTGGAGTTAGTGAGGAACAACTTTGAACCACTGCAAACAGCATAAAATGAACTGGTTCTGCTTTTCACGCTTAAAAAAAAAAAAAAAAGTACAGCTTTTTATAAACGTGCTGAAATTTGGATGAAAAATGTGTCAAAATACCCAGGTAACTCTAACTGTATGTTTGTTAAAGTGCTCTGTTGTTGTGGCATCTTCATTAGGTCAATCAGCTGATAGCAGGTTCATGTGTTAATTCTATTGCTCTGGGTGGGATTGGTTGATGTGAGGATTTGTTTTTTGTTTTTTTTGTTTTTTTCTGTAATTTACAAATTATTGTCCAAGGTTATCTCATTTACAGGGGGATAGTCAACACAAGTAACCCTGTATTGTCCGCCTTGAGACATGGGAAATATCTGTTTTTCCACCCACTTTAATGTAGCTACTCGTGATTATTTTAAGTAGTGTATTTCGGCATACTCTCATTACCTGTACTTATAATAGCTTATGTATCTGAAGATCAGACAAGAAAGGATGTATTTTATAATGAGAAAGTGGAGATCCATTAAAAAAAAAAAAAGAGTTCAATAAAAGAGGTATGACTAATTTTGTGCGCAGATCCTGTTTCTGACGATAGCAGCCTTATTTATCAAGCATCTCCATTTGGAAATGCAATACAACATATACTGATTTTGCTATCATGGCTGTTGTGCACAGGTAACTTACAATTGCTTGAATCCTCGAACAGTGACTGAAATTAAATGTATTACTGCTGTAGTGTATACATATGGACAATGTCAAAATATTGAAAAACAGGCATTAATCAAAAACATACAAAAACTAGTTTCACAACAATATTCACGTAAAAATGACATTTGACATTTCCAGTTTTAGATATGAGCTTAATCTTAACTAGTATAAAACATTAGTAAATACTCTTATTTAATGAAAAGTACATTATATTGTCTTTTTATTGTGGTATCGAAAATTTTTATCAAAATTTGAGTATCAAGACTGTTTCGTATTATCAAAATCAAGTTTGAATTTTTTTGATTTGTGACGACACTAGTATCTCTACATCCTACTTTAAAGACTTGTTCCCATTCAAAAGAAATAATATACTGTTTTAACCGCTATGGGAACAAGGCCTAATACTTCATTCTGCACCCCTGGATTCTGTAAAAAGAATTTCTGAAACAGCGTAACTCCAGACCTGTTTCCCCTGAGCTAATATTTGCCCTAATTATCCAATATTTTCATCTGCATGGGTTCACTGTACGTCTTACCCAAAGTTTTCAGAATAAAGTGGAAGCCATTACTTCTCATCTTTTATCTCCGGACCTGCTGTTCAACTTCATAAACCCTTTTTTATGGAGATTAACGAAAAGCCTTGGTGGGCATACATCACTGTCACACGAGTGAAGCTGACCGCTTCTGTTGTTTCATTTCACCAAAGTGACATTCAAACTATCACTTCTCACCATCAAACTGTCCGAGTCCTCCGTAAAGGCCACCCACTCCCACAGAGCCACAGCGGAGATCACAGCGAAGGCTAATATTGTGACAGATGAGAGCGAGGTGAGCGGAAAGTAGATCCAGCATGTTCAAATAGGATTATGAGCCACTGTGTGTCCATGCCAGATGTTTCATTTTCACTACTTTTTATGGTAAGTGTGTGCCTGTGCGTGTGTGGGGGGTGTGTGTGAGTGTGTGTGTGTGTGTGTGTGTGTGTGTGCGTGTGTGTTACTGGTGTTTATTACATTAGAGCCATGGGGAAATCAGCATGCACAGTGTAAAAGGTTACACACTTTTTCTGTAAAGTTGGCAGTATTTAAGATAGAGACGTTACAAGCAAGAAGTGTCACTTGTTCTCTTAACACAGCTTTCATCTGGAAACAAAAGGTATCACTTTATACTTACCCATCAAAGGAGCTGTACCAATTTTTACTGTTTTAAAACATGATTACAGAACTAGTTCATTTTGAATTGTTTGCAGTGGTCCAAGTTATTTCTCACTTACATTATACATTCCAAGCATCCTAATTATTTACCATGATGAGTTTATAAGTGCTTTTCACAATTTTCGTAGACCAGAGCGAAGTTTTGCCCACACAATAAAGCAATGTAATGATTTTTTCTTCTAATTAGATGCAGATTGCAAAGAGCTGACATATTTCAGCTGCTTATACAATATATCTGTATATTCCAATCATTTTCAGATCAAAATGTTTTAAGTACAATAATAATATTTTAAACTTAAAGGTCCCATATTACACAAAATTGACTCTTGTGGTATTATGTCATGTTAAAATATTATTGCCTCATCAAAAATATGCCTGGAGTTGTGTTTTGTTTCATTCACACGTTTGAGTAATCCTGCATTATTAGTCTGTCTACACACAAAGTGGTAGATTTCAAGTTAACAGCTACCGTTTACCTTTTGCTGAGTAAAGACTGGCTATTCCGGGCCTAAAATAAACCAAATCAATCTAGTGAATGTGTATGGAGTTTAAAAACAAAGTAGAGCACTTCTTGAATTAACACGTGACATCATTAGTGTTTTCTGTTTTAGAGAAAATCTGCCTGAATATGCAGTTCGTGAATGAAACAAAACACAACTTCAGGTATGTTTTGATGAGGAAACAACATAATAACATAGATCAGAAAATAGTGTAATATGGCTTCATTAAGCAATGAAAAACATGAAATATTGTATATAATTGGCAACAATATACGTAAAGTTACACATCACTAACAGCATTCTAGTATTTTCGCACTTTTCCCAAAATGACTTATTCATTTAGTATTTTATGAAGCCCTTGCATGTTTTGAAAAATACTGCGATGAAAGCCCATTGTGAATCTGAAACAAAATTGCATGTGGAAAACACATCCTGTGACTAATGATACCTTTTCCCACTATACCTCTGTCTCTGACCCTGATCCCATTTCATTTGGAACAAGACTGTACACTCAGCTTTTTCCTCCAAAAAATAATTTAAAAACAACAAAATGCTCTGTCAGATATATTGATTTACAACCACCAGACATCAAGACTTTGAGCCAAAAAACATAGAGCATCTGACCATAAGCAAGCGCACCCTCCAGCACTAACCACAAAGCGCCTTCTTGGCCAAAATCAATCACTATTTTGCTGCCAAGTACAAAGGCACCAAACCATTTCTCTATCATGAAGATCATATATTTTCTGCAGTTTAATAACAATAGTTCTGGTATTTCATCATTTCGAGGGAGAAGGCATAAGACATGGGGTAGTTAAATACATGTTGTGCAACATTTTTCTTGTGTTTTGAATGGTTTTCAACTGGCTTTTGTGCAATAAAGAAAAATACCCAAGTTAAGACGAAACTACTTTTATAATTGTTGTAAAGTTTATTGGTAGCACTTTGGAGTGGACTTGATTTACGTTTGATGTTTGTGTACCTAGTGTTTGTGTTTATGTGTGAATGCGTGTGTGTGTGTGTGTATGCATGTGTGTGCGTGTGTGTGTGTGTGTGTGTGTGTGTGTCAGTTTTGTGTTGAATGTGGAGAATTTTTAAAAAGCTATGGGTCAAATGCAGATGATACAATTCTCTATGGGGGACAATAAGATGTACCTTAACTCTTAACCTTCATTAAAGGCCCTGTATCCGATTTTTTCCCATGTATTAGAGCAAGATTTGTCCTGCTCCAGAAAAGATATATTGTATAAGCAACTCTTGAAGTAAAAAAAAAAGTCTGCTGCATGATGTCTATATTTAATTAGAAAGCTTCTTATTGTCTATTGTATTTTATAATAAGGAAGTGCACATTTTTCCATGATAGCAAAACTCTTGTCTCTGAAAAGCACTTATAAACTCATCACTAGGAATAATTAGGATGCTTGGAATACATGAGGAAAGTGAGGAATAACTTTGGACCACTGTAAACTGGTTAAAATTAAAATGGTTTTAACTATCTAACTAATACATGAAATAACAGTGAAAAACTGATAATCCTGATGTTACAAAGTGCAATATTAGTTTATGAAATGTAAATAGTTGTAAATCTTATAATCCTATATTTAGTAGTTTGTAAAAGTTTAAATTTACCTGTTTGGGGCTTAGTGGTTTAGGCCAAGCTATATAAGGGGAATTTTTTTTGTCACGGTTAATATGAACATTTTAAGACCAAAATGACGATGCTCTCTGCAGCAGTTATAGAGAGAGGGGAGACAAGATCCCAGTGTAAGTCAATTGAAGCCAGGGTCAGAAGGAGCCGGAAGAGTCTCCTGCCGAACTTCCTATTTGGCAGGTGGCGACTAGTGCATTAACTATGTCCACTCATATATACGGTCTATGTTCATGACCTCACAAGGTGGAACAGAGCATTTTGAGCTTTGGAGATGTTAGACAGACTAATAATAATGGACTACTGTACTCAAAATTGCATGAATGAAAAAAACAAACAAAAAAACAGAACTCCAGGTATGTTTTTGAGGAGGCATCAACATTATAACAAAGTTTAAATCTCACAAGATGGAATTTTGTGTAAGTCTTTATTTATATAGCGCTTCTCACAGACATTTTTGTCACAAAGACGCTTTACAGAGCAATATTCAGCATTATTCATTCACTCTATACATGGTGATGGTAAGCTACTGTTGTAGCCACAGCTGCCCTGGGGCAGACTGATAGAAGAGCGGCTGCCATGCCGATTGGCACCAACGGTCCCTCTGACCAACATCATCACTCACACACCACTTTCATACTAGGCAATGACAGTGTCTAGCCACTAGCACCAGCACCAGCACCCTGGTTGATCATTGATTGATTGTATTTAACTGACCTTGACTATCAACTCTTCTGGAGACCTGTAGCATGGGGGGAAACCGGAGCGCCCAGAGAAAACTCATCCAGACACGGGGAGAAACATGCAAACTCCACAAAGAAAGGCTTGGGCAACCCAGGGATTGAACCTGGAACCCTCTTGCTGTGAGGCATGAGTGCTAGCCACTCAGCCACCGTGTGTAATGTAGGTCCTTTAATTTACAAATAGTACTAGGATCATTATCAGTGTTTGATATTGCGGTGTATAGTTAATGAAAATAGTGCGTACTTTTTACTTCAGCACTTTCTGTTTACAATGATAGAAACATTTTTGAATAAAGTTGCACAGAAGGATCACTCATTAAGGCTGTTTTATACTTTCTCTAATCCCAGTGCGAGATCTTGCTTTTTCAGGTGTCCACGTAATCCCAAATGAGCCTTGTTTAATGCCTGCTCTAATCAGCTACGGCTCTCTCTCCCCAGTACTTAACAGCGCTCATTTTCCTCTGACTAAACATCTTCAATCACACAAATCTCCCAATGAAAACACCATGAGCAACGTTCTATTTGAAATTTAACCACAGACCCTCAACTACAGTAATGGATTAAGGCATTAAAGTGCAACTCATTTCTTTGCGCACACACATTCATCAGAGCTAATCAATGGTCTTTGGCTGGAGCCCGCCCCTTTAAGATTCTGACAATGGCTCCGCTCCCTGATAATTCAACCCCCCTTTGATCCAATATTTATGAACGTTTAAAAGTTATCGCGGTTTAATATTAAAGGCCAATGATTATATGGGAGCTGTACCCGCTAAAGGTCGCAGCCATCAGACCGAATGACATCTAAAGAATGGTAATGTGCTCAATTCAGATAGCTCAATAATTAAAGACAGGGTTTATTCAGAGGAGCGGTGCAGCCCCCCAGAACACCACTGAACGGGCTTTGTGTCTAGAAAAGCTTTTAGACCCAAGCTCCATCATCACTGAATCACTCAAATAGTTTGATAGGAAATGGAAAAGTCATATCCTTCATTGAGCAGTGCTTCCTGTACAATCCACAAAGTAAAGTACAAATCAGAAGTTTCAGTGAGGAGGCTCCATCTGTCACACAGAACAGAAAGGAAGAAGCCAGGTGAAAATTTTAGTTAATTGGTTTATAAGATTCAATTAAAGGTGACAAAAAGGACAGGTATTTGACATCACTTGTGCTATTACATGACAATGGAGTTTTCAAGTCTACCTTGAGCTCCTAGACCAGTTTAGTCCAAATTGCGGGGCTTTGTATCAAGTGATTTTTTTTATTTTTTTTATTTTTTATTAATTAAATCATATTAGTTAAATATATATATATATATATATATATATATATATATATGTATATATATACTTTTTAAGCGGGTATTGATTAAAATATTTCAACTGAGGTGGATTTTGACTACACAATATCAAAGGGTCTAGCAGCAGCCCATGAGGAGCACCATGAAGAGTGGAGCTTCACTAACTACACCACTGGTTGGTTTTAATACTCAATTAACTACCCCAAAGTAAACAAATTATCTAACTCTAACTTTAACCAACTTAACCTTGTTATTCCCAGCTTTTAAAAAATATGTTTTGCTATCAGATGTGATGTAGCTGATCTCCTTTCTTTAGCCAGTGGCTCCAAACTTCCAGTCCATATGGTGGCTGCACCTAGACCAGCAAAATATGATTCTTCCTCTCCAGACTCAAAAGCACTTGGAGAACTCTGCCCCTTGTGTCTGGAATTAGTATCTTCATAGAACTTAAGTTATGACTAAAATGTGTTCTACTACTGAAAATGGGAAAAGAAACTGAGTGGAGAGAAAATAATTACAGCAATTAAGCAAAGATCTAATAATTATTCTCAGTATCAATTAATTGGCACATCCAAAACACAGAGCAAAAAAGATGACATTTGAGTAAGCCGTGGTATGATTTCCAATCTTCAAACTGTTGAGCTTCATTAGAATTCATGAAAAAGGCTGCAGGGAGTTCTTTTCACGTGACGATTCATGAGGTGACAATACAAGTCAAACAGAGCGCCGCCGCATAAATCTGAAGTAAATGACATGTTCTGCAGTGTAAATCTGTAATTCACAGTTAATAGTGCATGTTAATCTGACGGGCGCAGGGACAGCAAAGGGGGAACTACTGGAGCGTGCTGACCAGGTGCTTGACCCTGGCTCTGGGTATGATGAAGCATATTTATGATATAGGGCACATATTGTCCTGTCAGGGCTCCTATGGGACTCTGCCAGCTGTCCCGTGTACAGCAAAAGCACGATCCTGAGTTAGACTATGTGTGCTGTACAGCTGTAGAGGCTATAGGGGTGCAAGATTAATCACAATCAAAACAAACACGCTATTTAAATAGTTGCAATTAGCACATCATAAAGGCTGCAATTTATGAAGTACCATCATTTCCTTCACAAACAACAAAATATGCTGCATAGAAACTGTTACCCGTGTTTAAATGTGTGCAAACATGCTCTGAAATGACATTCTTGTACTGTCATTTCATATTTCAGTCTTTTTATCAATAACTCTAAACATATTTAACTAGTGAACAGAATCTGTGTAAATTGTAAATGTAATTACAGCTGTAATGTCTGTCAGTGGTTCAGTCCTACATAAGTGATTTGAGAAAAATATAATTCTGATTTCTGTGACAGGTTTAGTGCTTATGATTCAATTTGCAGTTTATGTTTTAATAACAGGATTCTGTTCAAAGATCACATTTTAAACACAAAAGAGTTGACAAAGAGACTGAAATATTAAGTGACAAACTAAATAAAAAGAATCACAGAACATGTTTGCAAAGATCTAAATTACAGGGTTGGCAGTTTTATGCAGAATAAGACAGGAGATTTTGTTGTTTGTGAAGGAAACTGGTACTTAAAAAATTGCAGCCTTTGTGATTTGCTAATTGTGTCCATTCAAATAGCTATTTTGTTGCTGCCCTAGTATGTGCTGCCCATTTCAAATGAGCTTCACGACAAATGCCCTTAAGAAGGTACCCAATGTGCGCAGGTAATAGCAGGCCTGGCAGTGCCTATCTGTCTTCATTTAAGACATAGGTCAAATCCCACAATGTCAGAAGCTTTAAATCAGTATGGTCACTCTGCAATTATGGCTCTGGATCAGACACTTGCATGTGAAATAACGTTAACAAAGGCAGCAAAACTTTATTTTATAGTAATTTACAGTTTTATTTTTGATTAAAGGTCTGTTCTCATCTTTTTAAGGACAATGGCCCAAACTCTGTCACTTTCAATATAGAAACTCAAACATAATGGCAAAATTCTATATTTTGTGTCCACCAAAAATCTAACAGCACGAGTCAAACAGGGAGAGGGGCCTCGACAGACAGCACACACTGTGAATATAAAGATGTACACACTGTGAGAAGTATAATTGTCTTTTCAAGACCACATTACACATCACAGTACAAAAGTACTGTTCACTATTCAAACATCTTTCAGTTTTCTTCAGCACAAATATTTTTGAGTGTGAACACCAGTGACAGACCAAACCAGTGATTCTCTGTGGTCAAAGAGAGAAGGATTAAAACCTCTGAACTGCAGTGTCAAATGAATGAAAGAGCACGGAAAAACACATAAAACTTGCTTTTGGGAGATGATCGATCAGTTTTGAATGTAAAACTGTATTTTTTTGTGAGCTGTTTTGCAAATATCAATTCTCAATAAATAAAAGTGAGAAAGTGACTGAAAAAAACTGCAAATGAATGAAAGAGCACATAAAAACACATCACAAGAGTTTAAGAGTTTTGATAATAAAACTTGATTTTGAAGAATGGTTGAACAGTTTTGAATGAAAAACTGCATTTTGTTGAAATTTAATTTTGTTTTAGAAAACAAAAATTCTGTTTAGGAATTTGTGTGAGCTGTTTTGCAAATGCCAATTTTCAATAGATAAAAGTGCCAAAATGACTGAAAAAACTGTAACAGAATTACTAGTATATGATTTTAGATATTGCAGCCACCTTTGTGTCTTTGTGATCCCTGGGTGTTCTTTAAACATGACCATGCAACTGCGCATTGGGGGAAAAGAAATATAGGACCAAATTTCAAAAAGGCTACACCTAAAATTTTAAGTGAATTCTGCAGGGGTGAATTCTGGACTATAAGATTGTCAAAAATATTGAAAATCAGATATCAATACTAAAATGTGTGTCAAAAGTAGATAGTAAGTATTGGGTATTGAGTCTATTCCTTCGTATCAACATCAAGTTTGAACTTTTAATATTGTGACAACACGAATCTGGACCAAATCTAGTTCAAGATCCGGAGATGGAACAGCCCTAAACATTGAAGGATGGGCCAAAAGCAAGCAGAGGCCAACATTTCCCACAGGAAAGTAAATCGATTTTAAGATTTCTGTTTGTTAAAAAGAAAATAAAGACACAACAACCATAACAGTATTACACAAATAATCCCTCTTTGTGTCTATTTGATCTTTTATGCTGCATGATCCCAATTTAAGCAAGTGCATGAGTGAAAATACCTATCTTCTTATTCAAATACAATTATAAGTGACAGTAATGAACCATTGTGGGGTCTCTTGGCTGCAGGTTTAATACATGGCGCCCAGGACCAGCACATCATGATCTCACTGCGCCTGGTTCTGCCTCACAAACTTTCACTCTGCTTTATAAATGGCTTGAGTCGCCGAAGCGGGCCGCAGTTTATGGCCTTTCACTGATTTGTCTTGGTTAATTGATAAGAGCAGATGGCTACACAACGACTCTAATCATCAGCTACACTTTCTCACAGAAAACAGAGGACTTAAAACATTGGAAATCCGTCGGTTTGATTAAAGAAAATGACGAATGGGGTGCAGCGTGTGTTCATTGAAACCACCTGAAGTAACCGTCAGAGGTCAGTGCGCATGGACAGGTCATGACTCAAAAGCGCAAACTACTTTTCCATTGAGCATTTCTTCCCGGTGACTACCTCCATGCATCCTCTAATGAAACCCACTAAAGGAGCGCATTAATAATAAATCCCGAGCTAATACTGGATGCCTTCTGCTTTTGTTAACCCGGTTTCGAAGAGCCCACTCGTTACGCGAACATACAAGTGTGAGGCCATTAACAACGCCGAGGCACGCGTCTGAGCTATAGGAGAGGTGCTCCAAAAATCAATATTCCAACTTCATTCAGTGAAAGGAGACCGCTCAGTGACACACAGCAAGGACGGAGCGCGTAACACACACACAAGAACATAAAAAATGACAAGAATCACATGCGAAACTGTCATGACAGCAATACATTTTTGATTTTTGTTATTATTTTGTCCTTATTATCTATCTAAAATAACCAATTGTGCATGTATTTGCCAAACTACTGCCCAATCAAACAGGAATGCATAAATATGATGAGCGCAAATCATACAAGAAACACACCAAGTGCAATGCGGATTGACCAACCGGTATCCAAATGAGTTTATGCGTAATGAGCAAAAGTCTTGACGTTCAATTCTTATTCTCCAACAAACTGTTCACAAACCACAACAGTTTTAATTGAATAATATAAAACGAGTGTCCCTACTCACCCCAACTCGTGAAGAGGCAAAGAAAAACTCCGCAAAGATCCATGTCTCGATGCGCTGATGAATGAATGAATCACTTTACGCGGCGGAACTAGGGCTGCTGTGCGTTCTCCAGTCGTGGGGTTGTCCTGCTATACATGTGGAGGATAGTGTCAGAGCGAGTTGAACAACCTGTGAATATAATCCCGCTGTTTTCTTCGTTAAAAATCCCAGTTGCGTCACAGTGGAGTTGAAAGTTGTCGTTGGGTGCGTACCGCGTGGACAGGAGAGAGGCAATAGTGTTTTAAGGTCCGCTGCTGGGGAGATGCTTAGCGCTGAACGCGCGGTGAATGGACTGGAGAAGCATAGGAGAGAGGGGGAGGGGGGTGGGGGCTGAACAAGGCTGTAGTGTTACCGATGTGGACGCATAGCAAATTAATTGTTAATGTAGCCTATTCGTCATAAACATTATATTGTACATTTTCTTAAACTCAACCAACGGTGCACTGTGCAACTTTTCTGGTCTGGAGTCTCGAACTTCATGGAGATGTTATCACTTTGGAATGTTCCACAATATGGTAGGTATTAAACTAATCTTTCTTGCATGTATTCAATATACTTACGTGTGCTATTATTGCTCAGTACATTTAAGAACATGCACCTCACCGTTCCTCTCCACATATCAGATTTGTAATTTAGCCTGGTGACCTGCTTATCACCATTTGAGGTAAATACATTTAATCTTGTACTGTTATACATACCAGGCACAGAAATAGCATGGTGGTGGGGAAAGGTATGTAAAATGTTTATTTTAACTTTCATAAACATGACCTAACTGCGTCCCTAGATGTTCAAATCAAAACTCTTAAACAACAGTTGTGATGCTGATGTATTAACATGGTGGCCAAATTATTTATGTCTTTAGTGTTCAATCAGAAAGCAGAGTGAATCTCACATTTCCTTCAGGTCAGATTGCAAAATGACTTAAACATGCACAGAAAGCCCTCCTACCGTAAATCCTTAATGAGTGCTAGTGCAGCATCTGCAGCTCAGTGAGTGAGTTCTGGAGGATCTGAGCTTTCACATGAGAGACGTCTTCTGAGAATGAGTAAAATGTGTCCTCTTATGTAGGTTAAGGCTCTATATACCCAGGTTCTTTTAAACTGTAAGAGCACACAGACTGTGGTTACTTTAATAAACAAACAGATGTTGCAGAAAGTAAATTATGATTAAGCAGAACTGCAAAACATCCTTTTATTATTCAGAGGTGGTTTTGTATGGTTTTAATATAGTGCCAAATAATTTATTATAAAAGTATCTTGGGACAGTTGGAGAAAGAGCAACACAAACAAATAGATAGCTAATAGGAAGTGTGCTCAGGAAGTGGTCATATGGACTATAGACTAACACAGATGGGACTGGCTCCAAGCATCACTCTAACTTTATTACTTTCAACGCTGCTGATTTTCAAAGTTAATTAAAATGTCTGAAAAGATAGACAAAGAGACAGGGTTAGAGCAAATAAACCATCTAAAATGAAGAAAATTGTGAAATGATTTCAGAATATAATAATTACAGCTTCCAAACTTTGCTTATTATAAACTTGGTGAAATTTCCTGAAAGACTCTGAGGAGCTATTCAAATATTAATGTCTTTATATTGTAATGTGAAGAGAAGAAAGCAACAGCAGAGCCCTGGAGAGCTCATGTGTGCCAGATTAAAACTGATTTCGAGGCTGCTACTGAGTTTTGCTTTGTACAGATATGAAACATGTTCCTTTGGCGATAGGGGCTACTGTTGTCCCTGCTGTCTGATACGCCTGTGGTGTAATTCAGCCATGTTCACTCATTTGAACTAATTGATTTTTCAAGTGGGGTGAAAATGATAACTTTGGGTTTATCAGTTACATTTACTTGTCTAACTTTTTTAAACAATTTGTGCTTCCCTTTAGCGGTTTAGTACATTTACTTTTACTTGAGTAATATTTAGCTTGAAGTGAGAAATTAACATACTTTTCAGAAACCTGACATTTCTGTTTAAATATATATTTTTAATTGATCTCATTTAATATATATGAATTTTGGATTTTCATTATCTGTAAGCCATAATCATAAAAACAAATAGTACATAAAAATACATGTCATGAATCTATATGACATATGGATTTGACTTTCTGAAATGAGAGACAAAAAATATAGATCTTTTCTCTCTCTTGAGACGTACCTGTATTGTGTGGTCCAGAAACATCTGGAGCTTGTGAGGTAGTTTGTTGACATTGATGCCATCATGACCATTCCAAATGCCATCTCCACTAGAAGTATGTACAAAAGCTGCAGAGGAGGAGATAAGAAATGGTCATGACCATGTTTGAACAGCATGAGATTTACTGTACTCGTGTGTGTGTGTGTGTGTGTGTGTGTGTGTGTGTGTGTGTGTGTGTGTGTTTGTGTGCGCTCCAGGGTCCAAAAGGATGATCCTGTGAAGCAAAAACAACCCATTCCATCTACTCTTGCCTCTACAGCTATCTTAAAGGAGGAGTATTTTACTTCTATGGGGTACTAACTGGTAACATACCACATGTTTAGATCATTATGTTACCTTTTATTGTTTTGAAAATGCTGTCTTTGTCAAAAGCAATGTGTTAACGTTAATGTTTTATAAGTTCCACTGTTGTTTTTGACGCTCTGAGTCTACCCTCCCTTTGCTCTTGGGCCTCGGCTCTTAGTCACTCCTCCTCCAAAGCACTATAGCAATATAGTCAGTGTGCATTCTGCTAATCAAACGACTACACATCACATCAGGTTTGTCAATTTGTTTACGGTTTTATATTATACTTTTGTATATTTATGGAGAATTGTCGTGTGGGAGCACGGATGACGTAGGATTGTGGGCTGAGTATTGGACATAATCTTGCAGCTAACCAGGAGGGCTCAAGTAGGACCTGGGAGAGATTAGTAAATTTGTGAAAAATGCATGGATGACATTTAAAACCCCTTCAGGCATGTTTTTGATCTTATAACATGGTAGAAAGCAAAAAAAAAAAAAAAAGTATTTTGCATAACACCCAGTCTTTAACGCCATTCTACATCACTTACATCAATTCAGTCACTATATATTTACATGCATGCCAGTAAACCAGATATCTGACCTAGTTCATGTTAAACAAATTTTTCATGCATGTATGCCACTTTTGAAGAAACCAGTTTGTACCCTGATGCCTGCCGCATGTAACAGCGCAATCTGCAGAATGGAAGAGGCATTCAATTGCATGGGTAAGAAACAGCCAAGAAAATATTAAACATGTGTTTGGATGTGATCTCCAGTTTTAGATCTACAGCAATGACAAACTACAGTCCATTCACTGTGGACTAGTGCATGCTTTATTGCTTTGGTCCACTATGGTAAAGTAAAAGTAAAATCTACCAGAGCTTTAATATGTTGTGTGGTGGTTAGTAAACAGTTCCTAGCATGTCTGAAAATCAAATTCTTAATTTAAATGAGATGTCACTATGTGTGTGTGCCAAAAGTGTGTGTATTAGTAGCAATTACAGCTGCATATTTTTAGTGCTAATGGTAAATTACTAAAGTCTCTTGTACGTCTCTTAACCCCCAGTTCATACTGACATGGTTCCTTGACCTGTAGACTAAGATAACAGTGGCTTGACAGGTTTTGGGGTAAAAATGATGTGAATTTGGTTGTTTAACACTCTTGGAGTTATCTGTGCATGGAAATCTAGAGAGTGTTTAGTGCCTTACTTGTTTCATAGTTGCTTTATTTTTTCACTGAGAGCTTAAATTGGAACTGTAAAACGTCTTTACGCCTGGGCGACTGTAATTTTAACTCCCTAACAAGCTTGCTATATGAGGATATTTGGAACAATATATTTCACTGTCTATTGGGACCCCTAGTGCTTAAACATGGGGAGATAGGCTCTGAATATGTGCTAGGAATCTTTAAAGAGCCTTTCAGGGCCTTAGGGAACGATCACTAAAGTACATATTTGCAATCTGCATTTGTAATTCAAATCATATCAGAATTTGTCAAGAATGAAAAGGCCCCTTTGACATTTTACTGTGAATTGGGGGAAGATGTTGATTTTCTTCCTAACCACTTTAAGCAGAAAGTTGTTGGCTCTTTCCCAGTAGATGTGTGGTGCAGAGGGCTGCGTCTTTGTTAGCCTGAAATGAACTAATATTGCACTAACAGGAGCGAATTCAAGCTATGTTTTAGCATAGATGTGGTTTTCAAAGCAACACTTCCACCCTTAAAAGTGAACATTAAACTAATGATCATGTGACACTGCAGGTGAATAGGAAAAAATCCAGTTTACTTACATTATCTAGTTTACTTACAAAAAACCCCTGCAAGTCTGTCACATTGTAATGGACATTTTAAATACAGAAATACAGATACAAATGTTTATGATATAAGGAAAAGTCTTATATTATGCTATATAATGTTGTTTCCTCATCACAAACATACCCAGAGTTTGTTTCATTCACACACGTTTAATACACAAACCTTGCATATTTAGGCTGAGTTCTTCTCTAAACCAGAAAACACAACTTGTGATGTTATGTGGTAATACAGGAAGTGCTCTAATATAAGACCTTTAATAAATGAGGCTTAAAATCAATATCATTATCAACAAGTTGTGTCTGTGTAAGATTAATTTCTGTATATGTGTAAATGTATTTGAATTTACTGTATCTCATAAAATCTATGGATGCAAGTTGATTAAATGAGAAAAATTTTACGTGCAGACTGGACAATGTTGTTGTTGGCACATGAAAGCAGATCTAGGCGGAGAGAGCAAACTGACCAAAATAAATACATAAATAAATAAAGAGCTTTTCCTGTAGTGTCTCTCCTTAACCAATCTTCCATATGCAAAGCAGGTTTACACAGCGGTGACAGACAGCGCTCAGCTCTGGCTCCAGGCAAAGGCTACATTGATTTCCTATTTTTGCGTGCTGCTGCGGTGTGGACACGACATTAATGAGGGATTAGTTATTGTCCCCGTAATCATTGCTGTGTCTCAGTGCCAGGAATAGATGATGGAGAGCCGCTTTGTAAATATTTGCTGGACCCACTTAGCCACAGTGCTGATTCTGCCAAATACTGCTCCAAATTGTGTATGGTTATTCCAAGTACTGCACGGAGTTGGTAGTTGACATTTGATGAAAATATGTTATTGTTGTGTCTCAATACATTACTAGGTACTAGGTAAGTGGTACTAATAATAATAATAATAACTAGAAAAGCACTCAGAGAGCGCAGACCTCCGCCAAGGACTACCCCCATTTTTTATATAAATTGCGATAAAATCAGTCGTCTGGATCAGATCCGGATCAGCCTTTGGAATATGAAAGAGGATCCCACTGTCCATCCCTGAGTCAAATTTCATGGGGTTTGGTCAATAATTAACCGAGATATTGAGAAACAAAATTTTTGGCCCCATTTACCACAATGTTAACTAAAATTTCAAAGTGATCCAGAATCCAGGATTTCTTCCGGATCACCCCCAAAATGAAATCACTTCTTCCTTTTCACATTTCCAACAAATCCTGAAAATTTCATCAAAATCAGTCCATACCTTTTTTGAGTTATGTTGCTAACAGCAAACAAACAAACAAACAAACAGACAAACGCCGGCAAAAACATAACCTCCTTGGGGAGGTAATAATAATAAAGGTGTATTGTGTAACTTTTCCAGTGGAGGGCCTGTCAAACACTTTTCTTCATGGATACGTTACTGCTTTGCCTGGAATGTGTATGGTATTAAACCTTTCTATCTTCATGGAGACCAAACCAGTCCAAGTTACAGGTCAGATTTGTGGAGAGGCAACACTGAAAAAATGGTCCGAGAGGGGTTGCTCAAATTGCAAAAAAAAAAAATTGACAACAATAACATGACTTTTTTATGTTTCTCTGTCCAGCATGTTTAAATCTTACAAAGGTCACTTGATTGTGGCTGATGTTAGACCTGCATGTTTTAATCAGGTTGAGGAAACATGACTTTATTATAATCTCTGGTGAGGCTCCTCCCTCTGGAATTCTCCTCCCCAAAACTTTTAGAGGGAAAATTCAAACGTAACAGGACACAGGACAGTTCGAGGAGCAGAGGACACACACACAGGAGGATTATGAGAGCTGATCTGGAGGTAAGACTTTTCAAAGATTGTATGTGCTTCTCTGGCCTAGAATGTCGTCATTGTTAAAACATGTTTGTGATGTTTCATTTGAAATTATGTAAGGACTATTTCCATGAAACTAATTGTATTTGACTGTCCATCTACAAGAGTGTGACAGTTGTACTAAGATTTGAATGTGTTTGTTCCAGAGTCGTCTACAAACAAAAGAGCACTGCTGGAGCTGTGGGGAAGTTCACGAATGTTATATCTGATGTTTCAGAAAAAGGAAGATGTTTGAGAACCAACAAAACACAGACCACAGATGAACAAAGTAAGTAAACAAACTAAAATGATTTTAAAATAATTTTTCAAAATGTACTTCTATTGAAACAGTTTTCGTGTTTCTCCAGGGTGATGTGGCACTAGGAGGACTTTATATCAGATGCCCTACCTGTTACTGCGTTTAGAGGAAGAAAAGCTGCACATGGTGAGTTTTGTTCTACATATACAGTTCTAATGTTCTTCTGTTCTGGTCCATTATTGTAGTAATAAGTGCTTTAAGTGTATTTAAACATGTACAACAGAATAGATCATCACAATGTGATCATCATGTGTTATTCGTGTGTCCACAGGCAGAGACCAGAGCTTCTTCACTGGAATAAATCTTCACATTGTCCATCTCCAAACTGTGTGTCTCTGTCCCTGTGCTCTCTGTGTGTTTGATTCTGTTTAAGACAATACAGAACTGTAGAAAACTAAAGACTGTATTTGTATTCTTTTACAGAATTAGATCAATTAAATTAAATTATACATACTTATACATTTCATGATAAGGTAACATAAGATAAATATGCATATGCAGCATGAATTGATCAAATTTCATCAACATGAAAAAGTGACGTTCATGTTCTGAGAAAAATATGTGTAGAGAGGATCGAAATAAGTTTCAAAGCCTAAACATAATTTTATTGCATGCAACCGCTTTCCATAACTTTTTTACGCAAATCCAGCAACCTTTTTTTTTTTTCAGTGAACCAGGCTCACAGTCAGAATGCCTGTTTTTCTAGGTATTTTTGTGCTATAAAGCCACCTGTAATTTAATAAATGTAAAGTAGAGCTGTTTACATTCAAGGCAGAGCAATTACAAGCAGGTGATGGACCCTCCACCTTTTAAAGGGAAAGTCTGGAATTTTGGACATAGGACCTCATTTCCTAGTTAGCCAGAGTGTTGGAGATGTGTGGAGACACTTTTTAAATATTCCATCCAGTTCTTGTATTTGCAGAAGTCGCTGGTGCTATAGTTAGACAGCCACTAAAAACAGTCTTACCCACTCCACAAAGGACCCAAACAATCTGCAAACACTCTGGCTATCTAGGAAATGAGGTCTTGTGCAGTTTTCTAGTTTTGTTAATATTGCAAATTTTGGTTATTTGTAGTACATGAGCAGCAGATATGACATGCATAGAGTTAATTATAACTATTGCAACCATGAGGTAAACAAGAGTCAAAGTCCAAATTGAACAATAGTTATGATTAGACTTCAAACTGACACTTATAATTGTAAAACTATGGTAAATATTTACCACAGTACTATCCCACCAAACCAAGTAATACCAGCCATATGCACTTGAAGGACCAAAGCACAACAGGAGCCCTCTATATTTTATACATATATATAAATATATTCCACAAATACTGACTTTAACTTTTGGAATTTACATACAAACATGAAATGTTACAGAGGGCATGGTCTTTATAAACTTACAGCTTAAAACCCGTGTGGTTGTTCTGTGTTTAATTATTATTTGAATGTCAGTGGTGCTAAGAAATGGCCGATACACGCTGAGAGCTGGCAGCCTTTGAAGGATTTAGTGAAGTAAACAAAAGTGGAGTTCAAAGGGGAATAACAGTGACATTTATAAAGACAAAACTGTGGATATGAGACTGGAATAAAAAGCCCCTAACTTATATTAATAATAATTTATAGTGTGACCACTTTTCTGTTAGCCATTGCCAAAGCACTAAAAATAATTATGTTAGGCTTGTGTGGCGGTTGCATGTTTCTTCTCGGGTCTGGGCGGATTTCTGCCAGGCACAACGGTTTCCCCCATCAAACCCAAACCATGCACAATAAGTAATTCTCAACACTAGGTGACCTCAAGCACTGAAAGGTAATGGCTCACTGCTTCTGACTGGTTGAAGGATGGGGCAAATACAGGAAATGAATTTTGCTCACTAGGGATGAATGAAGTGTACCTTAGCCTTTAACCTTAACCCTCTAAATGTTCAATTTTTTCAAACAACAGAGACATTTTATTTTATGAGACCAACACATATGGGCTTTTTTGCACCCAGAAACCCATCTCCAGACATTAAGCCAGGCTTGGTCAGGGGCACTACATTAACTTAAGGATTTTATCTATTTTGCATGTTTTGGGTTGTTGAGGAGAATGAGGTTCTAGTAGGAAACCCACTCAGACATGAGGAAACATGCAAACTCACAACCTTCTTGATATGAGGCGAGAGTGCTAACTACTTTACATCTGTCTTTTGACCCCACTCTTGTAGTAACAACTGTAGTTGCAATTAAGGAGCAAAATCAATTGACAAAGTTGTAACCAAAAGCATTATGACCCAAAATATCCTCACTTTTATCAATTCTTTCATTGCTCTCAACTCAATTTTTATGGGAATGTGGCCATATTTTTTCAAACAACAGCACACAGGGAAACCCTGACTGTGAATGTACATTATCCAGGTGTGTTAGTCCAAGAGAAATCCTGCCATTTGTCTTTCAATTACCATTCTCACTGCATTCCTGCGTCATCTTAATTGCTTTTCTGTTTTGCTTTTAGCTCCATTTGAAGAATCACAGGTCTGTGTACTTCTCTGAAGACACTTTTCCAGCCATCCACTTTTTACTTTTTCTGCCGAGAGCAAACAGCTTTCGCAGAATTGAAATATTTTTCACACTGAACCATATTGACGCATATACAAAGCTTTAATTTTAGTCATATCGGCTGGTGCATTTTGTTATACAACTGCTGTCAATCAATCTTTGTGACATGTGGATTGCAGAGAAAATGAATTCTTGAAAAGTCAGTGGATCAATTTCTTCATTCCTGTTTACATTTTTTATTTTTTTACCATGGAGACGATAGAATAGGTTAACGTGACATTTTAGATTCCTATAGTTAAAAAATTATCATGGAGGTTGCTGTTTAACTGTCAGATTGTTGATTTGCATTACTGTGTAGAGTTTTCATGTGTCTCCCCATGTCTGAGAGGGTTTCCTCTGGCCACTCAGGTTTCCCACATCAACCCAAAACATGCACTCCGGGAAAGAAGTCGAGCTTAAGATGCACCAGCAGCATTGAAAGATGGTTCAAATGCAGACAGCAAATTTTCCTATGGGGGCAAAGTGTACCTACAACCTCCAAAATATGATTGTTGTCAGATGAACTTTAAAGAACCCATATTAGTCTAATAATAAAGGATTACTCAAACGTGTGAATGACACAAAACACAGCTCCAGGTATGTTTTTGATGAGGCAACAGCATTGTAACATGGTTTAAAGCTCACAATAATCCGTTTTGTATAATATATGAACCTTTAAACCATAAATTAATATGGCAAATTTCTGGACCAAATTCAATACAAATAAATGTGTGAATTTGTGAATCATACATTTGGATATTTCTTTCAAAAACAGTGAATCTTCCATAAAGACCACAGCTCTCCATCACGTTCATTTGCTAGAACATGAATGCAAACTATACTGTGAAGAATGTGTGGTGTACAGATGTGTTGTCTTCACCTTCAGTGCCCACGAGGGGTGAGGGGTGGGGCTAACGTGGGTGCCCTCCTAGCTTTGTCGCTCAGTGATGTCATGTCTTCAATGAAAGAAACACAAGGCTGGTTGTTCTCAGTTGACCCTTGCGGCACTTTCCTCTCACTCTGGCTTCCTGTTCCCAAGAGATCAGTCAGTCAACACGGACACACTTCAATGAGTTTCACTAGTCTTTAACATTAGAAGGGGTAGTGTTGGTCATGAATAAGGGAGGTTCTTGGACAGCTACACATCTCTCTTTTTTTTGTGTGTGTGTGTGTGTATTGACAAAACCCAAGGAGGTCAAGCTTCACACTCAACCAAACACCACCCACACATTGCATCCATACCCACCCATACTTAATACAGATCCATAAGGAAATAATTAGTAATAATAAAAAATAACAGAAATACTACTACTACTACTATTACTACTACCATATAATAATAATAATAATAATAATAATAATAATAATAATAATAATAATAATAATAATAACACAAATTAAAAACTAAAAGGGTATAAGCAACTCAACAAACCATATATAAAGAACCATATATAAAGACATACAAAGAAAACATAAAACAATAAATTATGTTTTTAAAGTATTGTAAACATACATTTTATAATGTTGAAGCCTAAAAAATAAAAAAAAATCTTTCCTAATCTTTCCTAATAATAACTGGGGGAAATTTCAAAAGAAATTCCCACTGACTGTACCCAAGATCGAACAGAAACCCAAAACTTGGCAACATAAGGACAAAAATAAAACAGGTGAAACAGGTCTTCCTCTTCCTCAGAACCTGCAGTAAGGATCATTCCTACCTGCCATTTAGATAACAATTTTTTGTGGCAGTAATTTAATTTTGCTGAAATATTCTCAAATAAGAGTCCATTGTGGTATTATAAATAGTTTGAAAGTAACATTTCCATGAAAATAAGGCATTTATTTCACCTTCCTAGATGAAAATAGACTTTTTTAGATGCGTTGATGTAAGGGTTGGATGAGACAAAATTAAATTAAATTTAATCAGTTGTACAGTTCCGTTCACAACTGGCCTAGATTTTTTAAATATTTTTGCTCAAGTTATAGCACTGCTTTTCAGAACTACAGGTTCTCAAGAGGTGTAACTCAGCAAAGTTATCTCTTTTTATTGTCCAAGTTAATAGTATCACATGTCAAAAAAATATCACAAGATAATTTTTCTCATATGTGTATAGTCTTGTGGCAATTTGATCTTGTAAGATCTTGTGGCATGAGATTTTATCCCATCTCTACACTGTGGTTTTAAAAGGTACACTGTGTCAATTTTATGTTAGAGTCACAATCTTGTCTCCATGGAGATGTTTTTGCTGTACTCTGAGCCATAGTTTGGCATTAAACTTATGTATATCTTGCTTTTATTCAGTTGACATGGTTTCTGTTGCTAAAAGTACTTGAATAACATGCATGCTTGCTGTGACCTCTCCACAGATCTGATCTGTAACTTGAACTGGTGACATGACATCCTCAGCTTTTCTCCATGGATATAAATAACTTTAAAGCCATACTGTGGAATTTCCAGGCAAAGGTATCTCCATGGAGACAAGCAGGTCCTTCTCCAGAAAAGTATATTGCTCTTTAAGCTGCACAACTACAATGATTCATGGGACAGATTGTACCGGGAAACCTTTGTAATTTTACGTAAGTGAATTCTATTACAAAAACACAATTTCATTCCTAAAGCCTTGAGCTTTATTGTACATCTTGAAACATGTGCAAGTGTCGTTTCCAAAGGCACTACATTGCGAGTCAAGTATGCAGCAAAATGGACTATTAGATGTGCTAATAGTTCCAGGGTTTGGTTGCTAAGTGCAATGTAGTACCCTTACAGAAGGTCTAGTGGAGGGGTTGGATCCTCAAAGCCACTGTGCCGGTGATGTTTGTGCTTTTCAATGAATGTTCTAAGTGGCAATTTTCCAGCCAAAACCTTGCTTTCTATTGTGTCTGAGAAATGGGACTGAATGTGTGATTTGAATGCTAGAATTTTTGAAAACCATGATTTATTTTGAAGTCATTGTGCAAAATAAATTACCGTGATTCGTATGTAATTTTACATGTAAGAAAAACTGCTCATGTGTTCACTTCAAATACTCTGGTATGTGGTATGCTGCACTGTGTCTGTTGACTCACCAAGACAACCTTTTCAGCTGGTCAATATGTTTAAGTGACTTAAAATGTGTTAAATTGAAAAACATCGACTTGAATTTCATTTGAGCAAACTAGACCTGTCAAGTAAAACTATTAAAAGAACCTTTTTTTTTTTCTTAATTCAAGCTAAATTCAAAGCTTCTCTCATTTTAAGTAAAAAAAAAATTATAATAATAGTAATTTATATGTATATATATATATATATAATATATATATATGTGTATATATATATATATGTATATATATATATATACATATAAAATTACTATTATAATTTTTTTTACTTAAAATGAGAGAAGCTTTGAATTTATTATTTATTTTATATGTATATATATATATATTATATATATATATATATATATATATATATATATATATATATATATATATATATATATAAATGTGTTTCTCACCTTCCACGGTGGTAGGTCTCTCTTACCCTCATTGAGCTCGGGTCCTCTACCAGAGGCCTGGGAGCTTGAGAGTTCTGCGCAGTATCTTTGCTGTTCTCAGTACTGCACTTTTCTGGACTGAGATGTCCATTGTTTTTCCCGGTATCTGTTGAAGCCACTCTTCCAGTTTGGGGGTTACAGCCCCGAGTGCTCCGATCACCACAGGCACCACTGATGCCTTTACTTTCCAGGCTCTCTCCAGCTCTTCCTTGAGCCCCTGGTATTTCTCTCTAGCTTCTCGTGTTCCTTTTTCCTGATATTACCATCGCTTGGTATTGCGATGTCCACCACCACGGCTCTGCTCTGTTTCTTATCCACCACCACTATGTCTGGTTGGTTCGCCATCACCATTCTGTCAGTCTGTATCTGGAAGTCCCACAGGATCTTGGCTCGGTCATTCTCCACAACCTTTGGAGGTGTTTCCCACCTTGATCCTGGGGTTTCCAGCCCGTACTCTGCACAGATGTTTCTGTACACTATGCCCGCCACTTGGTTATGTCGCTCCATGTATGCTTTCCCTGCCAGCATCTTACACCCTGCAGTTATGTGCTGGACTGTCTCAGGAGCCTCTTTGCACAGTCTACACCGTGGGTCTTGTCTGGTGTGGTAGATCTGGGCCTCTATTGCTCGAGTGCCCAGGGCCTGCTCCTGAGCAGCCAGGATCAGTGCCTCTGTGCTGTCCTTCAGACCAGCCCTCTCAAGCCATTGGTAGGATTTCTTGATATCAGCCACTTCAGTTATGTTCCGGTGGTACGCCCCATGTAGGGGTTTGTCCTGCCATGATGGTCCCTCCAGCACCTCTTCCTCTGGACCCCACTGTCTGAGACATTCTCTGAGCACGCTATATATATATATATATATATATATATATATATATATATATATATATGCGAAAGCAGCAGCTCATGACAAAATAGGACCACTGCAAGTTTTTTTTCAGAAGTAAACACCTAAAGCAACTCTCTAAATGGCCGCACTTAGGCCATTCACCCCACTTGCACTTTCACTTGTTTTTTTTTTTTTTGTTTTGTTTTTTCAGTTCATTTGACCTTAATTTTTGACCTTTTGACCTTTTTTGAGACCTGACCAAGGTAGCAGTCAACACAATCAATCCAAAAAAGTTAAATCTCAAAATATCACATTATAAAACCATATGCATCTGTCAAGAAAAACATTTTGCACATTTAAAAAATACCTACTCCAGCTGTGTGAAAATAAGATACTCAGCTTTAAGTACAAAAAGTCTCGTCGCACTGGTAACTGACCGCTCAGTGCAAATCTGCTCAAATCAAAATCTTGATTGAAGTCATATTAAATGACCTATACATTACAAATTTTCTAAGTCTGCTATTTCCGCAATAAAAACAACATAAACTACTTACTATACTCTATTCATGCAAATATATGCATGTGCAGCATTTCTAGAATCTGTCCTCCTTGGTGCCAAAAGGAACCCACATGGTGCCAGACTGAGTGGCGGGCATGGGCGTAGACACTGGCCCTGGCCAAAACAGATGGTCGGATACATCACGTTATGCTATAGGTTATGTTACTGCTGCGTAAACTGATGCCTGCGCGTGTCTTAAATCTGATTCTGGACACACAAGCGCTACATAATGTCTTGCCCAGGGTCTCACAGTTTAAAGCACATATAAACTAACCCTAACAACAAAGTTAAAGGGGCTATATTACGCTACTTTTTGATTTATTTATAATGTTGTCCTCAACAAAAACATACCTGGAGTTGTGTTTTGTTTCATTCACACATGTTCACCACACAGAACCTGCATATTTAGACTCAGTTCTTCTCTCAAACAGAAAACACTGTGTTCCACCTTGCGATGTCCTGTGGTAATACAGGAAATGCTCCACTGTGTTTTTTTTAAATTCCATACAACTTCACGAGAATCATTTGAATGATTTCAGCCCTGGAACAGTCAATGTCTAGTGAACTAAAGGTAAAATGTAGTTTTTAACTTGAAAACATGACATTATAAGGTGGAACAGAGATTTTGGAGATGTAGATAAACTAATAATAGTAGGTCACTCAAACATGTCTGAATGAAACAGAACACAACTCCATCCATCCATTTTCTTCTGTTTGTCCGGGGCCGGGTCGCGGGGGCAGCAGTCTAAGCAGGGACTCCCAGACTTCCTTCACCCCATACACTTCCTCCAGCTCCTCTGGGGGGACCCCGAGGTGTTCCCAGGCCAGCCGAGAGACATAGTCCCTCCAGCATGTCCTGGGTCTTCCCTGGGGCCTCCTTCCGTTGGGATATGCCAGTAACACCACCCGAGGGAGCAGCAGACATCAAGAACAGATGCCCCAGCCACCTCAGCTGGCTCCTCAGCGGCTCTACTCCAAGCTCCTCCTGTGTGACTGAGCTCCTCACCCTAACTCTAAGGGAGCGCCCAGCCACCCTGTGGAGGAAACTCATTTCAGTCACTTGTATCCACAATCTTGTCCTTTCGGTCATTACCCAGAGCTCATG